ATCTATCTATCTATCTATCTATCTATCTATCTATCTATCTATCTATCTACCTACCTATCTATCTATCTATCTAGTAGAATCAGAGACTGCTGATAGACTAGAAGATGTTCAAACTAATGACAAAACAGCACTGAAAGAATTAAAAGCCCTATCCTTTTACTGTATTTGGTAAGTCCCAACCACACCAGCCATCAAATTAAGTCAACAGTATAAAGGTTGAAAATCAGAGAAATAATAAACCGTGTATCTCCTGAGCTGAATATCCCCAGAAGAGATAATGTCCATATCACAGACTAATAAAAATACAGAAGGAGGGGCAGACTTGCAAAGTTCCTCATCTGAAGCCTAGTTTACAACTTTTTGTATACAGGTACTGTAGTCTCAACTTACAACAGTTCGTTTAGTGACAGTTGGAAGTTACAAACAGCACTGAAAAAAGGGACATGACATTTTTCATACTTAATGACTGTTGCCACATCCCCATGATCAGGAGATCAAAATTCAGATGCTTAAGTACCTCGTTCATCTTTATGACCCTTGCAGTGTCCCTGGGGTCACAGGATCACTTTTAGCAACCTTCTGACAAGAAAAGTCAATGGGGAAGCCAGATTCACTTAACCGTGTTACTAACTTAACAACTTACAGTGATTCAGTTATTGTGGGAAGAAAGGTTGTTAAAATGGGGCAAAATTCAATTAACAAACATCTCACTTAGCAAGAGAAATCTGGGGCTCATTTGTGGTCATAAGTCAAGGACTACCTGTGTGTGTGATTTACTATAATGGGGATGGTCGGAAAGGATGAAAGAGGCATCCTTTCCCTCACAGGATTAAAATAGGTTTATCTTCCTCTAGAACAAGTGTGTCAAATTGGGGCCCGTGGCCCGGATGCGTCACTCACAGGCCACATATACCTGGCTCCACAAAGGCAAAAGACATTGCAATACATCATGATAACGTCACATGACACGATCAAGTTTGACACCCAGTGTTGTGGTCCACCAACAGCCTGCAGAGACAGCAGCAGAATCGGACAGTGGGGAAGAACATGGGCCAGTCCGGGACTCTGGGGAGGACTCAGACGTTGGTCCTGCATCTGATACAGAGGTGGGGCCAGGGCCATCTGGGAGTTGTATGCTGACTCCGGAGCCTCCAGAGTCTGGCAGCAGCGAGGCAGAGGAACAAGGGGAGCCTATTCCCAGTGCACATGTGTACAGAGCTGCCAGAAGGCAAGAGCAGCTGAGACAAAAGGGGTGACTCAGGAATAAGGCTTGGAGGTGATTGCCCCTCCCCTAAGGTATAAAGAAAGGGCAAAGGGACAGGAACCTTTGCAGGAAGCACCGTTGTTCACTCTGGTCGATTTGGAACCTAAAAGCTTTGTGGTGAATTTGTGCTCAATTTGGTGTTGAAAGACTAATTGGTATTAGTCGTTGGCGGCACTTCAAGCGACATAAAGGTGCATTCTTATCAGACTTCTCCTGAAGAACTTTGGCAGACTTCCATGGGATTATTTATAACTGGTTGAGACTAATTACGAGCTGTGAATGACGATAGTTCATAGCCATTGAACTAAAATAAAAAGGGTTTGAATTTAACATGTGTTTGTTTGTGTCTCAGGAAGCCTTGGTTAGAACACCCATGCCCTAGTAGGACTGAAAGAGAACACTCTGCTATCTGTTGCTAATGTGATGAATGAGATACTATTTGCACAGGTGTGGCATGGAGGATACTGGTTGCTATGATAACTTTCATCGGACCAGGGTGAAGGATAACTGCATCTATGCTATGATCTGGAGGGCTCAAAGCTGTGGAATCCTAATCTAACTTCACAATGTGGCTGTTTTGTTCCTCCACACAAATAGGGAAGAGATGATTTTAGAGTATAAAGCATCGAAGTGTCTCTCCCCTTTTATCCAAAGTGAAGTCTTATTTCAACAACCTATTATAAACTCTGTGCATTATTAGATAATCATTTCCAGCAATACAGCATTCAAAGATAAGCAGCGTTTTACCTCAGCCCAGTATATAGGGATATCACTACAAAGGATATTTATAGTTGTTCCAAGAGTGGTGCGAACAGCTAGTTTTCCCTTTTTGAAGCTGTAGACCAAACCGTTGCTTTCTGAAACCTTTATGAAAGAAGATGAAACGGCTTATAAACAAATTGGTAGAATGCATTGGAACTTAATTTCTTCAATGGTGAAGAAATGTGCTTGTTTTTCATAATCCAGTTCCTTGACTTGGAAGATTCTTTTGGTGTAGAAGTCCATGGTTGCTACAATAGCTCATATTGCTGTATTTTGTCCTCAAGACATCTTCAACAACACAGTCTCAACCCAGTGCAAAACAAACTCCAAATCTGATTGGTGTTATTGGCTAGTTAAACATTTGTACTGGATAATATATGTAGCTCAGGGTTGGATTGTTGGGATCTTTCACTTCACTTCTCTTCCTGCAGATGTTTTGTTACTGCACTAGGTAATATCAATGCACGGAAGAGTTAAATTTGCTGGCTATATGTGTCAGGTTGCCTTACTAGCTTTTAAACGATCTGTTAAAAGATTTGTTTGGATACCATGATCTTATGAGCTCAACCAATCCTTATGAATCTAGATCTGGCAGGCAACAGTCAGCCAGTCAGGAGGTGAACACAGGGAATTATCAGCCAAAACAATGCTTATTTATTGTCCTCGGTAACCAGTATCTTTTTCCATAGGGTGCATCCCTCATTTTTTCTACCAATCATTAGCATCTCTCACCACTACCCAGATACAGTACAAACTTGTATTTTGAACATTGACCTATTTCTTCACAAAAAGAAAAATATTAGCATGTCCCACCATAAATACACATGCATATCCTAATTCTAATGGAGTATTTTGAACATTTGATAATGCCTGCCTGCCTGCCTCTCTCTCTCTCTCTCTCTGTCTATCTATCTATCTATCTATCTATCTATCTATCTATCTATCTATCTATCTATCTATCTAT